GAAGCATTTTTGATTTTGGTTGCATCGAAGTGTTCTCCTTTGCTAATCCTTACAACGGCATTTGATGATGACTTTTATAAAAATGCACTGAGTATGATTTATAAAAGATCCAACTCTCTCAATTCTCATTATTGTTTCACCTTCTTTATATGCGCGCTACCTAGTTGAAATAACTGGCGGGGTCTCGCATTAGTACTGTTTTCTATTTACACTGCTTTTTGCTCCCATTGTTGTATGTTTTGTTTTTGCTCTTATTTTAACTGAAATAAACCTGCTTATTTTAAGTAAATACAATGCAATCCTTTATATTTTTATCTGCAGTCGGGTACAACTTCTAATAGAACAAAATTTCCACCATTTATGGCTTATTTCCCGTGATCAACCGGCTTTCTATTTGCTTCCCGCTTTAGTCGCAATGCTTCGTATCTCTTGATCAGTGCTAAATGCATATATAAAGATGTCATTTGATTGGTTTACTTATTTGTCCGAGACCGGAGCTGAAATTGCTCCTCCCAAATTATTCAAGCATGTTGAGCGTAGCCTCGAATCGGTTGTGCGGCCTGATCATACTCTTGAAGTGGATTATTCATTCATGCAGGAGCTTGATGATTGTCCTACTACAGCCGTCTGGTGGCCTGCTGAAGTCGTATTAGTTTCTGGATTCATGATCCGACTTCGGCTATGTGAACCGGAAACTTACTTCAACCATTCACACAGCAGACCTCGGCCGTTGACGTCTAAGCTAGCATCTGTCGGAGAGTTCTGGTTTGATACTAAAGGGCCAAATTGGTCCGTGATACGATATATTAAACTTTCGGATGATCTACATTCCTGGACAGTCCCGCACTTTATTAGACCATATCTGATTCCAGATTATTTGGATGAAACAAAGATAAATTGGATTGAGACTGAATGGGGAAGAAGTGTCCAGATGAGAAGTGCCCCTCGTATCTTCTTTGAACAACGTGTTTTATATGCCTATGAATTGATTCGTATCGGTGGCTATCTGGAGTGTGAGCATGAACTAGACCCAAATTGTGTGTGGCCCGTTAAAGTAAGTAGTTTCTTATGGAATATTTGCTCCTTTCCACTGATAGTTACTCATTTAATTTCCTCTCATTACCTATATTTGTGTATCTTTAGGTTATGCAGAATTGGGGGGGTCGTGTGCATCTTGAATGGTTTGGTGCGGATTCCCGTCGGAGTTCTAGTTCAAGCTGGGCTTCTGTACAAAAGAGTGCATTTAATGCGAACGATGAATGTGGAGCTTCTCACGATTTACCCAATAAGGATTTATCTAATCTATCTTCCCTATCATCGACCAGTTTTACCCTATTTTACTTGCATCGTAGATTGCACCCAATTGGCTGGGGAAAATCATATGCTCTGCGTTATTGCCCACCCACTGGCCTCTATCTAGATAGATCCATCTCAAACATTGATGCATTTATTCGAACAGCTCCTCTGGCGATTTGCTCGCCAGCAATTTTCGAAAATATTGCCGACACCCGCCTTTTGCGGTTTGGTCATCCTTCTTTTAATGAGGAGCCTTTTCTACATGAGTTCAAAGTGGGATGGAAACTGGAAGCCGTTAATCCTCGCAACCCTAGTGTTATTCAGCCTGCTACTGTCGTTAAAGTGAGCCTTTGCTATTTTTGATAGTCTTAATAGTGAGTGAATTAAAATTTTGTAGTTCATTTTTCTTTCTGCGATTGCCAAACAAAATCTAGCTCAGCATTAAATTGTGGAAGTGTTCAACCCCACCTTTTTATACTGCTAAGTACTCGGTCAAACTTTTGTATCCTGATAAAGTTATATTCGTTTTCATTTATCTTTTTGTAACTTTTATAAAAGACCATTCAAAACTCCCGTTCACCCAACGCTTTTGTAAATAATTCCTTACTTGCCTCCATAATAGACAGACCATTCTTTTAAATATGTCATACAGTTGAGCTCTTTTGGATAATTGCAAGTCATTGATTCACCTTCCAAACCAATATTT